GGAGAGGGAGAAGCAGGCCTCCCGCAGAGCAGGGAGCCTGATGTGGGGCTCGATCCCAGGACCCTGGGATCATGACCTGAGCCGAAGGCAGACGCCCAACGACTGAGCCACCCGGGTGCCCCGGTCAGGTGCTTTTTGACAAGAGTTACAAAAGCATCCAATGGAGGAAAGAATAGTCTTCAACAAATAATACTGGGAAAACTGGATATCCACATGCAAACGAAGGAAGATGGATTCCTTCATCACACCATATACAAAAATTAGCTCAAAATGGATCAAAGACCCAAAGGTAGGAGCTAAAACTATAAAACGCTTACAAGGAAATGCAAGTATCAATCTGTGTGATCTTGGATTAAGTAGCTACAAAATGACATCTAAAAGCACAAGCCACCAAAAGAAAAAATAGATGAATTGAACTCCATCAAAATCAAACCTTATGTACATCCAAGGACACTATCAAGAAAGTAAAAAGAGAACCTACAGGGTGGGGAAAAAACATGTTCAAATTATGTTCATATGTTGTGAACTCTTAAAAACTCAGCAATCAAAAGGGATGCCTGCATGGCGCAGCTGGTTGAGCATCCAACTCTTCCTGGCTTTGGCTCAGATCGTGATCTCAGGGTTGTGAGATTAAGCCCTGCATTGGGCTCTGCACTCAGCATGGAGTCTGCTTAGGATTCTCTCTTCCTCTCCTTCTGCCCCCCACAAAATAAATAAATAAATCTTTAAAAAGGAAAAAAAACCCTCAGCAATAAAAACACCAATAACCCAACTGAAAAGCGGGCAAAGGATTTCAATAAACAATTGTCCAAAGATCTACAAATGTCATTCAATAAGCACATGAAAAGATGCTCAACATCACTAATCATTAGGGAAACAGAAAGCAAAACCACGATAAGATGCCTCCTTCCACCCACTGGGATGGTGATAATAAAAACAAATCACGTATTCACAAGTTGCTAAAATTTCTCATCATAAGAAAAAAGTTCTGTACGGTGATGGATGTTACCTAGACTTATTGTGCTGACCAATCTGCAATGTATACAAATATTGAATCATTATATCAATTAGACCTCAAAAAAGATTTTAAAAATTCATTTAAAAATAAATAAATAGGGCGCCTGGGTGGCTCAGTTGGTTAAGCGACTGCCTTCGGCTCAGGTCATGATCCCGGAGTCCTGGGATCGAGTCCCACA